GTGGGGGCGGGGGAAGAAGAGGATTGTGGAGGGGCGGATGGTTCTGTGGTGGTGGAGGTTAAGTCAGTAAGGTAAGTGGATGTTGGGGGGGGGGTGGGCTGGGGAGGGGCGTTGGTAGGGGTTGGTATGTGGTTTGTGGTTCAGGGGCTCAGGGATAAACGTACCTGTGGGTGAACCGGGCGGTGTGCATCAGGTGGACGGCGTCGAGGAGTCGCTTGGCGATTTGGAAGCGGATGCCGAGGTCGATACCCTTGGGTTCCCTCTCGAGGATGAGCTGCCGCAGGCTGGTGGGCATCCGCTGCGCGGCGATGGTCTTGGGCGAGCGGACCACCCGTCCGTCTGGGTGGCCGGGTCTGCCGAGGACAGGCTTCGTGGGCAGGTTTCCGCGGATGTGTGAAGGCAGTTGGAAAACGATCCCGATAGTCCCCGGGCTTGACTCGTCGAAGATGATTCCAATCGTGGCTGGTAGGAGAAGCTTCTCGGGCTTCACGGCGTGCAGGATGTACCAAGTTACTTTGGCCTCGTCTAACGCCTCTAGGATGGAGTTGTTAGTTCTGGAGCCTCCCCTTCCGGTGCTTACCCATTCGACAAGGACCAGCCGGGATTGGTACTTGGTAGGGTAATCGAACAGTCGAGCCAACGTGGCGTTCTTGTCGAGGTAGTAAGGGGCGTCGAAAGAAAAATCGTCGAGGCGGAAGATCTTCTTGCCGGACATCTTGGCGTCAGAGGCTTGGACGGCCATGGCAAAGTTGACAAACTTCGCGATATCATCATAGCTCTGTCTCTCTCCGTCATCGATCGAATGCTTTGCTTCGTAAGTCGCCGCTTCTTCCAGCCGCTTTGTTCGGTCAATATCACGCCCGACGTCCTTGACAGCCAGCTGAAAGACCAATCGCTTGACAACATCCCTCGTGTCCGGTGCGGTAAACAGCTGCAGGTTCCGGTTGAACTCCCTTAGTCGCTCTATCAACTCCTCCATCTCGGTGCTCCCGCCCCAGAGGGTGAGACGGATGCTCTGGAGAAGGCCTAGGAGCCGGAGGCGGCACTCTTCAAACTTTCCCAAGTCTTTTGAAGAAAAGCGGCTGTCGATAGTATAGAGATAATCTGAGATGTTGTTCATCTCGATGGCTATGTCTTCGGGTCTGTGAAGACTGCCGAGCTTTTCAACCAAAATACCGTATCTGGACTTGAGCTTCTCCGGGTTGGTGAGTGTCTGGAGCAGGAGCACCAGCTGCTGGAGTATCCCCCAAGCTAAGAGCGGCCGTGCCCCGGCAAACCCTTGAAGCTCCTGCTCAGGTAATCCATGAGGGTCTACCCACGTTTCTTCCCAAGCTTGCGTGATCTGGCGTGGATGTGAGTACTGATAAGGAACGAGACGAGGCTGTGGAGCATAGACAAACCGTCCTCTGGAGTTCTATTCTCCCAAGGTAACCCCGTGACTTTCTGTCGGCCAAAAACACGTCTCTAAGGAGCACGAAGCCTTCTATGGGCAGAAAAATGCATTAGTCTCAGGGGTACCCTTTGAAGATTATTGTCATGTCAGATGTGTCCGTTCTTACCGTTGACAACCGGAAGGAGGCCAGCAATAGCTGCCGCGATGGAGACGCGGTCAGCCATGGCAGAAAGAGGGTTAAAGACTAAAATAGCCCAACCGTATTACACTGGTTGTGAAGAGTGGAACGGCGGTGAGTGTATTTTCATCTGCAAGGAGACGATACGAATGGGATGTTGAGAATTACGGACATTAAGAGGAGGCTCGGAGCCTTTTATGTCCCTTAAGCGCCATCGTCTAATTATGCAGCTATGTGGCCCAGGGGCCGGACAACTGTTGGGTCCGGCCTTCTGTGTGATTCGAGCGGGGATATGCACCTCTTCCCGAGAGGTCACAACCCAACTCTCTTTTCCGCCCCCACCCATCCCAGCACACGACCAGGCTTAATATGACTGACCGACAGGTTGGAATGGAATGTTGGTAGAAAACACCGTATCTTACACAAGTGAGGAAACCCTTCCTTCCCCCCTGACTAACCGGGTAGGGGGTGGGGGGGGGGGGTTATTGCAAAAGAAATGACCCTGCAAAACGATGGTGCATGTGCAGAGCAGTTACATTGTACGCAAAAACCAACCGCCAGAGCTAGTGTGCTCGTTGCCTAATCGGGCGCCGCCCCTAACCAGTTGCGATGATGGGCCGATGCCGGGTGGAACATATGCAAGTCAGACAGTCTCACGTCAAGCCGTCAAGCTGTGGGACCAAAATGTGACCTTGATTGATCACCAAAGAGACGCTCTAGTAGCTTAAAGTGAGAGAAATATGGATAATAATCTGAAACCAGAAATATGTAGTTAGTCCTCATACAACGTTACCAAGTACATGATTATAATACCAGACCTTGTACACACTTACACCATCACATTACTGAGATTCGTTCTCTGTCTTAATCCAGCAATAAACTTGACATTAACTCTTACTTTCTAGTCTTAGATGGGTAGCTAACTGCTACAGTGCTAAGCAGTCATCAACCCCTCCTCCCGCTTCCTCTTTTCTTCCAGATGCATGGCCCGGTAATTCGGATGATCCCTCTCCCTCCTCGTAAACTTATTCTTCTTCATCGTCCAGCCAGCATACGGAGAACCAGCATTGTAGACAACCCCAATATTACGCCCTCGCCCGGCCAGCTTTCTCACCTTTTCAGGCCACGACGCCGGCGACGTGGGATCCGCCAGGTGTTCGTCCAGCACAACACCGTCGCCCTCAAACATCTTCATCTTACCGTTGCTCTTAACCACCCCAACCACCCTCGTCTCCGACTCGGATACCGACTTCGACGACCAACCAGACCCGAAGCTCCCAACAGACGAGAACGAGCCCGATCGCCGGGGGAACGACGATTCCGCGGAAGACGAGGATTCCGACAGCTTACCCTGTTTTTGCCGCGACCACGGCCACGGCGCGGACGAATACTCGGGACTGTTACTCGCCTCGGACGACGCCGGGGAAGACGCGTACGACGAAGGCCAGGATGAACCCGCCGAAGGCGGGGGATTCATGGTGGTGGTTTCGCTCGTGAGAACGGTACCGTCTCCGTCAACGGTTTCTACGCTACGTTCCACGACGGGATAGTGCGGGTATTTTCTCTCGGGCTGCACCGGGGCTCCGCCAGGGACGTTGCGGATCTGGACCGTCTCGACCTCGACCGTCATGACCAGCTTGGCCACCTTGTTGTAGGGTGGTGGCTGGCGCTTGGGGACGAAGAGATTGTAGAGACCGCTTGTTGGAGACATGGTGTTTCGTGGGTTTTGTGGTTAGCGGTGCAGGCTTGAGACAAGAGGTCGACGGAAATTGGGATCAAAGACGGCTGCTACAATCAATGCATCAAAACGAGCGGGATTAAATACGTCGTTTTGAGAATCGTTTTGAGAGCCGTCGCTGTAATCATCCAATCCACATGCTCCGAGGAAAAGGGGTGTGTGAGGGTAAGGGTACGAGCTGCTGAGGTGGGAGCCAGCTGATGATCACTTTAACTAGATCATGATCAACAAGAATGTACGATGTTGAAGGCTTGGGCTAAGACTGAACAAGTCATTGTTGATCCCTTTACAATTCTGCCCGAGGACACCTTCGAGTAACTCGAACAAAGACCTTGGGGAACGACTCGAAAGTGCAACCCTCAACGCCTGCTTCCTTCTTTATTCCATGGATAACCCAACAGATACAATTCAACACAACGCCGACCGACCAAACAGCATCGCCCCGTACTGCCAACCGGAGCTGACGCGAATGCAACAACCATGAACTTCAAAACATGCCTTGGACTTTTGTCTAGTACTGGCCCTCAAAATGCTGTAGATACCACGCCTGACCATGCAGATAAAAGCCATGGAATTACCGAAACTCGCGATCTCAAGCGCCCACTGGGGCACGCGAAAACAGAAATTACCAGCGCCGCCTGTGGATGATTAGTTAATACCACCCAAGATCAATGCTAGCAGGCAGGGGATGGGGGGGATGCGTACCCATAAACCGACGCCACCTGGACTTTTTTGGACGGCTTCTTGGCCGCAGGTTTGGACCTCGGCTCACTCAGCTCCCTAACGAGACCGAGAAGACCGGCCTCGAGGTCGTCAAGAGGAGATTCGCTGCGGTTGCGGTCGCTTCTGCTCGAGGTCGTGGCTCGGCTGCGGCCACGAGTGCGGCTCCGGCGCCCGCCACGGCTACGGCTTCGGCTCCGGGACGGTGACCTGTGCCTCCGATGGGACCGGTCCGAGTTCCGACGCCCCCGATCATCTTCACGGTAGCGTGGCCCGTTCTTTTGAACAGATTGCCCGCTGAGATAGCCGCTATCATGCCGTTTGTCGGCATAACTCAATCTCTCCTCCCGCCGAGGGGAGTACTTGGGGTCGGTCAAGACGTCGCTTCGGTGGCGATCACTGGAATGTTTGAAGCTGGTCTCTCCTGCCTGCGGGGACCACGGGTCGCCCTCATAATTGAACCTGGGCGGGGACCTGCTGCGTTGACGCGGAGAAATGGCTCGGTCGTGGTTCTCGAGCGATCTGCTTTTCTGAGACCACCGTCGGTTCCGTTTCGGGTCCCGGTCGTCTCGGTCATTATCCAGACCAGTGTCAAAGGACCGTTTCTGTGGGCGGCGCTCGTCCCTGTCATCTCCGTTCAATCGATCGCGTCCCAAGTCATGATGTTGGCGATCTCGAGCCGAGTGGTGCTGAGCAGGGCCACTGCGGCCATCTCTGCAATACTGGTCTGCCCCGTCCCTCTTCGCTTTTATCGGTGACCGGTCAACTCTGAATCGGGGCGGTAGCTTGATGGCCGACGGTGAAGGCGGTCCGTCCGAAGGATCATAGCTTGGGTATTCATGCTCACAATCAGCAAAGCGCCGCGTCGCCATTCCTGGGTAGTGCTTGAAAACCGGGTCATGCCGAAACTTGGACCAGGAGGGATGCTCCCTGATGGACCGCACGAAGTCCTTCTGATTGTCCTCCTGGAAGAACTCGGACTTCACGCATGTGGCATCGTATGCTGGCGGTATTGTTGCATCGTCGCTGTACTTGTCAGAAATGGGAATGCCAACGGGGTCAGCAGGGTGGTTAGTTTTGATCCCCGGGAAAGCCACCCTGAGCTCCTCCTCCAACTCGGGATCCAAGTCGGGAGCATCTTTCTCTTCTTTTCCAGCCGCCGCCTCTTCAGAAGGGCCTTGATTTGCCCTTTCGGGGTCTTCAGTTACAGTTTGCGCGTCGTCAGTCTTTACTTGTTGCTCGCCCCGGCTGGGTCGACGTCCTCGACGCTCATGACGAGAGCTACCCTTTCCATGCTTCTCGTTTGTTTGCCGGGTTTTGTCCCGATGATGTTGTGGGCGTTTGGATCCTTGGTTCTTCTGGTGCCTGCCGCGATGAGCTCCCAGCGGGGTCTGGTTCGCTGAGTGTGGTGTTGAGGGCGGCCCGGCGTAGGGTGGAACCCAGCCTGGTGGGGGAGAGTATTGAGGCTGCGGCGGGGGGTACGGGGGTGGTTGGCTGGGGGTGTAGTGAAAAGCGCCGGGCGGAGGCGTGGGCGGAGGTTGAGGTGGGTAATGGGGTGGGGGATAAGGTGTCGAGCCTGGCTGTGGGGGATAAGCTGCCGAAGACGAAGGCGGCGGTGGTGGCGGTAGTCCGTACTGTTGCGGTGGATATGTGCCTGGCGGGTAGGAAGGCGGGGGCGGGGCGGGCGGTGGAGCAGCACCAGGAGCGTAGTAACCGGGCGCAGGAGGATATTGCGCTGGTGGGTAAGAAGGCGGCCCGTACGGGGATTGCTGGACGTACTGGGGCGGCGCCGGAGGTGCCGGATACTGCCCATAATGGGGTGGCGGGGGAGGTGGTTGGTACCCTCCGGGATAAGGGTTGGGAGGATAGCCGGCTGGAGAATACCCCTGTGCCGTACCCGGCGGCGGCGGCGGCGGCGGTGTAACGCCGAGAGGGTATGGAGGTGGCGGCGATGGGCCATACGGGGTGGCAGGTGTGGCGGGTGGAGGTGGGGGGTAGTGTGTGACGATTGGGCCTTTCTTGTCTCTGGATGAACCACTCCGTTCAGACTTGCCATGTTCTTTGTGCTGCTGCCATCTTTGAAGACCACTACTACTGTTAATATCCGACGAAACAAACAACCATTGGCTGATACAGCCCAGTACCCGACGAGAGGCGAGATCAAACTTACACTGGCACAAGCCGAGTGGGCTCTGGACAAGCAAAAGCCCAGTGTCCCTTAACACCACAGTTATAACACACTGGTTCTTTCTCGGGGGCTGATTGCCCAGGTGCGTTGGAGCTCATGATGAATGAGAGTAGTCCAAACTTGTTCCACGCGAGCAGGACTTATCCAGTTGCTGAGAAACGCAACGAGAACGTACAGTGGATGGAGTAGGACGGGACCTAGAAATGATTATGGGGAGGATACCTTGTCCCAAGAATGATGATGGGGCATCACCAACTTGATGATGCTGGACTCGGCTCGAGGTCGAAACGATGGGCTTGGCTAACCAAGGACGGGTTCGCGACGAGTGAGGCTCGGTCGGGATTCGCTGCTGGTTACAGATTGAGTGTGTAGTCGCAGAGCTGAAGATATATTCAAGTAAGATATCTCAAGATGCCGGGCCCTCTGCATGCTCTGGTTCGAGCGGGCTTACCACAGGCGGGCCGTCTTCAAGGATTGACAACAGAGGCGCGGCCCGTTCCTGGATCAGCAACCTGTAGTCAATGTTTCGAGGTCAATGAGTGATGTCGGTCGACCACGGCACGGCCGTGCTTAGAACCCTCCGCTTCTGATCCAAGAGGAAATTCAGGTCTCTCGACATGGAAATAGGGACAGTAGTAAACGGTCTCGGATCTCGTGCAAGGAATCGCTTCGCCGTGGATCTGGCGGAAATGGCAAGTGTGGATGTGGATCGGATCTCAACCAAGCCCAAAATTTGGGGGTTCAGCGTGCGCTTGGGCGGCCAGCCGCCACCAAAACCTGCGGGGCTGATTGCCATGGTCACGTGACAAAGAGAAACGTCGCGGTGCCATCATCTTTAATTCCCAGCGCCGAGGAAGCCATGTATGTAATCCGTCCACGTTCTCATCAACATCAACATTGATGAAGCTCTGTAGGTCAGGAAGACGGACCACCAGGCACAGTTACGATGACACCGGGATCAGGACCAGCACTGAAGGCCAGTCAATAGGAGCTGCTAACAACGATGAAATGCTGCGAGAGCTCTAGATTTCAACCGTCGCCATGGCTCAATGCCCTTGCTTCAAGGCAGCATCCCCAGGCGGAATCCCGAGATAGATTCACAGAAGCCATATTTGAAACGGAATATGAGGGACTCGAAGTCCCGGAACAGAAGCGTGAAACTCGAGAATAATGTACGAGTAAGGAGACGCCAACCACCTCACGGCAGACACAAGCTTCCCAGTCTCTGACCTGCTTGTTCTCACAAGACCCGGGCTGAGCCTGGCCAGCCAAAGAGTGGGTTTTTGCCCAAGCTGCGAGACAAGTCGAGTAGCGAAGATGTCCCGACCAAGTAGCATGAGAGGAAAAAACCAGACAAGAAAATTACCCCATGATCCCGCGATTTGGGACTGTGCAAAGGGGTGAATAAAAAAGCCACCTCTGGGCAGTGGAAAATTGCCAAACTTTTCGGCTCCAGCGTTTGGAATCCGCGTAATTTTGGGGGGTGAAGCTGTGGCGAGCGATGTGCTCAGTGGCAACCGTGGAGCAAAACGAGCGGCAAAGGGCAAAGGGGGGGAAAAGGTGAGGGAGAAAGTTGGCAGGGCGGGTGGGAAACGGTCTGGTTTTGAGTCCCAGGCCCTCCAGGCTGCGGCGAGCCCATGTGGGGAACTCATCAAAGCACGTGCGGCGGCAAGAGCAACAGCTTGGCGAACCATGGGCTCTCCACTCAACTCGGGGCCCTGCCAGAACCGAAGCTCCCTTTAACGCCGAGGTTATTCCGACCCAACCACAATGACGCCACAACGCTCTGTCAAAGCTGCAGGGCTGGCGGCGGTTTTACGATTTTTGTTGCTGACTGATGAGAAAGAGCCCCTGGCGATGCTTCACAGCTCCCGGGTACTCAGCACTTCCACTCCACAGCATCGTCTGTCTTGCTCAGCTGTCGTCGGATCCATATTGCACACCACAGGGACGCCAAATGCTGTAATGCCCGGGATGACAATAATTTCAAGCTTTTGCTCGATGTGATGCCCAATCTCGGCGAATATGTTGGTTCGCAGACTTCCACTTTCTACCATTGACATCGCTCGAACCGGGACTCGCAGTCCTCGCCTCTGCGGATCCTGATAGTGCATCCCGCTCTTTCTATCTTTCCTCGACTTCTACTTTTTTTTCTTCTGAAGATGCCGGGGCTCCCTGGTGAGTAACTCGGTTTTATGCTGCCCCTCTCGTTCCAGACGGCCAGAATGCCGTGCCCCGCCTAGATCAGCGTCTCAGGCCACCTCCACTGACACGTCTTGCGCCGCAGCTTCCGTGGACCTCGATGAGTGCATCTCGCGCCTCTACAAGAAAGAGCTTCTCGCCGAGTCGGTCATCGAAGCGATATGTGCCAAGACCAAGGAGCTGCTGATGCGCGAAAGCAATGTGGTCCACGTCCGCGCCCCTGTTACCGTTGTCGGTGACATCCACGGCCAGTTTTACGACCTGATCGAAATATTCAAGATTGGCGGCTGGTGCCCAGACACAAATTATCTCTTCCTCGGTCGGTCACGCCTGTCCAGATCGGCCCAGATTAAACGAGTTGCTGACTGGCCCTCCGATTAGGCGACTATGTCGACCGAGGCATGTTCAGCGTCGAGACGATTTCTCTTCTTGTGTGTTTAAAACTGAGATACCCCAATCGCGTCCATTTGATACGAGGAAACCACGAGTCACGAGGCGTGACGCAGTCGTACGGCTTTTACACGGAATGCTCGCGCAAGTACGGCAATGCCAATGTCTGGCACTATTTCACCGATATGTTCGACTTTTTGACACTCAGCGTGGTCATTAACGACCAGATATTCTGCGTCCACGGGGGTACGTTCCCTTCAGCCCGCCCCTTGCTCCAGATCATCACAGGGGCTTGTCTTAACCCGTCAACCGAACAGGTCTCTCCCCCTCCATCCACTCGATTGACCAGATCAAAATCATCGACCGCTTCCGCGAGATCCCACACGAGGGCCCCATGGCCCGACCCTGTTCTGGTCCTGACCCGGACCCGGAGCGCGACGAGTTTCCCCTATCCCTGCGGCGAGCCGGCTACTCGTTTGGTGTGCAGGTGGTGAACAAGTTTTAGGGAGGTCAACAACATGAACCATATCCTGGGCGACTACCAACTGTGCCAAGGAGGGTTTCCAG